CCCCGCACTGCCGTGAGCACTTCCAAGGGCTTCACCTGGGCGACCGCACGTTCGTCCTCCCCTGCTCACTCCCAAGCACTGCTCCGCCCCTTCGCCCCCCTCCACTCCTCACCCCGGCGCCGCCACCGCCTCGCAATCACTCACGCTAGCGGTCGCACGCCATAAATCACGTGGCGCGAGGCAGCGGCCGGAGCGGGGGCGGCGGTGCCCGAGGCCGGCCGACTGCGATGGCAGTGTGGTACTGGGGTGGAAGAGCAAGGGCGGCAGCGGAGCGCGCGAGGGGAGGGAAGGGAAGGGTAGACTCAGGCGACTGCCAGTGGGGGCGGCGGGAATAGTGGTAGCAGACGAGAGGTCAACGTTTGTAGCAGTGGCAGTGGCGGGGTGGTTTTGGATAGATTGATCAGTGATTCCGGTCGCGTCAGGTGCTAAGGTCATTAGTCCCGTCAGTATAGTTCATGTTTTAGCGCGGATTTCTCCCGCTGGATAGCGAGATCCGGCGCCAACCTACGTTTGCAGGGATTTTCTCCCGTTAGATAGGCGTTCGTAGGGATGGCAGTAGGAGAAGCAGGTACAGGGGGTGGCGAGGATGGCGCGGGCGGCGGTATGGCGGGAGTAGCATGGTACAGCCTCAGATAGAGGCCGACTGCTGACGGCAGGGGCGGCTGTGTAGGAGCGGTTCTAACGCGAAGGAGCGTGTGCGGTGGATGCCCTTGAGAGTATCAGTGGCGGAAAAGGTCGTTTGGGCACACCGGGGATAATGATGATATGAACGAGCTACTTCATCGAGTAGAGACGGCGGTATTGAGGGCGGCGGCAACGGCGCGGCGGTTGGAGTGTGGCCAGCAGAATTAGCTGAGCCAGCGCGGCGCGGGTTGGCGCTGCTCGCTGTGCTCGTGATGGACGCGTCGTGCGCCGGCGTTGCCTTGGGTCCGTCGCTCGCCAGGCGCCCGCGGACAGAGCGCGCGCCCCGCACACGGGGAGGCGCGGAAGGAAAAGAGGGGCTGATTTATGGCTGCTTGATGAATGGGAAGGCGGCGCAATAAATGGGGTGATGGAAAGATGTCAATTAGATGCTTCTGTAAATATTGCAGTACTGTTGACTAGAAGTTCAGGTGGTGAAATTATATTAGCAACTTGATTGTGATAGTAACTGACCTTCATTGCCTTTGCCATTGCCATTGCACATTGACACATGCCGTGCAAGAGGGCGACGAGAGACTGGAATGATCAGCCTCTCGAGTTTTATAACTAGCAAAGTACCCGGCGATGACTGTTTTTTTCGTATTCAATTCTTGGGAAAAACAAAAGGTGTCCGTCTCTCTCTCTCTCTCTCTCTCTCTCTCTCTCTCTCTCTCTCTCTCTCTCTCTCTCTCTCTCTGTCTGTCTTTCTCTCTCTCTCTCCCACCGGCCTGTCTCTCTGTGGCTCTATCGTTGTCTGTCTGCCTCTCCGTCTCAGAGTCTGTCTCTGCCTGTCTCTTGACTCTCTCTGTCTATATATCTCCCTGTCTCTCTCTTTCTCTGCCTGTTTGTTTCTCGCTCTGCGTCTTTGTCTCTTTCTGCTTCTGCCTTTACTTGTCTCTGTCTGCCTCTTTTGCCTCGGTACGCCTCTGTCTGTCTCAGTCTGTCCTGTCGGGCCCTGTATCTCTCTGTCTCTATTTCTGTGTATCTGTCCCTATCTCTGTTTGTCTCTATCTCTTTCTGTCTCTGCCTTTCTCTGTCTCGCTCTTTGTCTGTGTCTCTTTCTCCCTGTCTGTCTCCTCTGTCTGTCTGCTTCCTCTTTGTCTCTCTCTCTCTCTCTCTCTCTCTCTCTCTCTCTCTCTCTCTCTCTCTCTCTCTCTGTGTCTGTCTCCATCACTTTCTGTACCTCTCCGGAGCTCTCCATCTCTCTTCGTCTTTCCGTCGCTCAGTCTCCCTCTGTCTCACTCTGTCCCTGCGCCGCACGGCAGAACAACAATAGAGCTCGTGTCGATCGCAGTTTGAATGGAAATTGATTTAAATTAAGCGCAATTTTGTTTTGCAGAGCTATTTATTACAGTTACAGCAATTGGTTAAATATACCGACATTTCTTTTTATATACTAGTATATAGATGTGCACGACTGATGTTCACGAGCAAAGCCATCAAAAGCCGACTACCGTCTATCGAAAAACAGCTTGTTTGCTTTCTTGACAATATCAAACACTATTTCATTTGATAAATAGAATATTTATGAACAAGAATAGCGTTTAGGATAGTAGGAGAAATTGATTCGTATTAAACATGTTTCAGATGAGCCAACTGCATTCGTTGTTCCCCATCTTTTGCTCTTGAAGATGCTCGAACAGGTCAAGATTATCCATTTCTGGGGCTCCACCACCAGCACACCCTTGTCCTATATATTTCGACTTTCGTTTTGTTAATTTTGTTCATGATATTTCAACTAGAACTCCGCAAATAATAATAATAATATTAATAATAATAATAATAATAATAATAATAATAATAATAAACTGAGAAGGATTGAATTACGGTATTAACATTATTTATTCTTATGATGGTGAATTAGTAGAGTAGGCTCTTTTCTGTTGTGTTGAAAACACTGATGTGTAGATTGTTGAATTATGAAACTTCATTTTGGTTTTTGAATGTAGATGATAAAGAAGTGTTACCAGTATTTTTAAAATTCTTGGATGGTTTATAAGTAATATGTTCTTCAGTTTTGTTGTTATTTAGCATTTACAGGGCATTGGTGTGAGAAATGACCATTGTCTTTACAAATAAAACATGTGTAACGTATTAACCAGCGTGCCTCATGGCATCTATTTGGGGACGCTTGGGAGAGGATTAGCCTCGCCACAGGAAGAAGGGTTTTTCCCTAAAGGGAAGAACGCGGAGACGGGAGACACAAGGCTTTGGGTGTCTTCCGGCTTATAGAAGCTTTTCACTGTTATAACAAGCGAGGGGGTGGCGTGACGTAGTAGGTCACGTGGGCCTCGCCTATATAACTGAGTGTACAGAGCCAGTAGGTAGGTTCTGGAGACGGTGGGAGAACCTCGTGCGTGTGCACAAAACTTGGCGCCAAGACGGTGCATATGCGAGCCAGGCTCGCGAGGCTGGAGTCATTAGTTGACGAAGCCTGCGGACTTTATGTCCTTGGGTGACTGCGGTCACGGGGGAGCGATGCTGTGTGCGTGCTCCGAGGTGAAGAGTGGTTGAGTGCCACGATTCACGCCGATTCTCAATCGGATAAGATCGCTCCTGCGATCGAGGCAAACCAGCCGTTGGTGCGCCAGAACGGACTTTGTGTCCGAGCGTGACATCCGGTCACGGAAGCTAGGCTTTGTGCGCGCTTCAAAAGTAGGAATGGCGAATGCCACAATCAAAACCATCTTTAATCGGGTTTTGGATCGCTCCCGCGATCAGGGGATAGAAGGTCTATCAGAGCTAGGGTTTAAGTAGATTATTAAGTGTATATATTTGTTTGTTTTCTTGTTAATAAATATATTTGTTATACGAAAGCTCTGTGTCTGTGGTCGCTGTATCCATGACGTCACAGTATGCTGGTTTCCGAGACTTGACACATATAGATTTTTTTTCTTTGCAGTGTTCTTAAAACCCGTGAGTACCAAGAGGTCCCAACTATATCCGAGATATGAGTGTATACATTGTAGCTGCATGTTCTGAAGTTAAAAAGAAAACTGCTTGTAGTTAATGTTTCCAAAAATGCCTGCAGATGTGTTTGTCTGTAGATGGTGGGCATTTTAAACATATGCTCAAGTAAATTGTGTAGTAATGTAGAGAACCATTATTTAATATTTTTTCCCTTAATTTTGGAATATATATTATGTTAATAATTAATTTATTATTTTATTGTATTTTTCTATACCTAAGCTATTATATATATATATATATATATATATATATATATATATATATATATATATATATATATACTACGTTTGTAGTCGTTTTTGTGGCTTTCATCCAGCAGACAGCTGATGGCTAAGCCATCGAAAGCTGCTCTTGCATTAAATAATATTGTTGGCAATGACAACGTCTTTAATTAAAATTCTACGTGCTCTTGAGTTGCAAAGAATCATTTTCAGCAGTGATATTTGCAATCATGGCATATTAATGGAAAAAGTGATAAGTTACATTACCCAAGCTTATGCTGAACGAGTTAAATATTGAGACATCTAAGACACGCCAACCAAAAGGGAGAAGTTTTTATCACATTCAATTTATAAAGACCTTCACCACTAATTTGTTTAAATAATTTTATTAACGCACGAGCTTCTTGGATTTGTGCCCCGTACCTACATTTGTTAGTTTCAAAATAGAAAAAAATATTTAGTAACTTTTGTTTTAATTTGAGTTCACTTTTTTTTTTTTTTTTTTTTTTTTTTACAAAGGAGTGGTGACACCAATGAAATTTTATATTTCGTAGTTGACCTCATTCCATTGTGTAACCTGTGAAAATTCACAAAACAGTTTTCACCAAATCCGTGTCCATTATATTTTCGAAATATTTTTAAATTTTTATTGTCGAAAATACCTCATGTCACAATATCTCTATTTGTGATAAAACAAGTTCGCTCTAGTCGATGCAATTTTTTTAATCTGTCCAAACCAAGGGCATCCTGCGCATTAGTTACGTAGATAAATTAAAGTGATCTAACGTAACTTTATTTTCGAAACATTTGTAGTGGAAGAATTTGTTTTTACTGTATGTGTAAGGGGAGCATGTATTGGTATGCCCATCGATTTTGTCGGTTAAACTGAAAACTACAACGTAATTATACACAGTTAGCGATTAGAAAATGGAACGAGAGTGAAGCGTTAATCGGAAGCATAGAAACCCGACGGTTCGCGAGTGGCGTACAAGTAGCTGAGAACATAATTACAGGAGTTTTAAATGAAAGGAAGGAAAATGTAAGGTTAATAGGAAGAGGGTGAAACGGTGCGGGGGAAAATGAGCATCTGATAACAGGGAAGGACATCAGAATAAGATCACAGAAGTGAAATGGAACAATGATTTATTTAAAAAAATTAAAGTTAAAAAGCAGAGGATGTAAGTTAAGAATAAATTAAGAATAAACCAAGAATATGTTAAGATCCATTAGCACATGTGGCAAGAAAAAGCTAGTTAGATTTAGGCTTCGGGCAGAGGCTTTTCACGGCCTCACGAGCAGCTCTAGGGCAGCAGCAAACGCAGTTGATACAACAGTTTTTGGTTTCAGAACAGAACTGAAAGAAAATAAGAATGTTAGTGTCACATTTATACCACAAAAAAAAAAAAAAAAAAAGTAATATACCATGATTAAATGTTCCCAAACCGATTGACATGGCGACACGTTCAGGATGTGGTAAATCTGACCGTGTAATTACATTACGGCAACAATTAAGCCTAGAGTCAATCCATATTGGTACAGTAGACCTTTTACGGGCCCGTCTGGCCGAACAGGGTGAAAATGCGAGTGAAGGCGGCTAAGAATTACCTGATTCAGGGGAGCCGCAATGCAAGGGCAGACCGCAAGCACCGTGTCCAGCCCCTTGTAGAGAGTCCAGTCTAGCAGGAACAGCCAAGTGGGGCACAAAGCCTGCAAGGGCAAGGCCGCCATTCTAACCGGCATAGCAGCGAGAGTCGCTGAGCATTCCAGCAAGGCCAGCGGCACAGAGAGGAGGCCGTTGGATCTGACGCGGGCGTAGAGGTTGGTGGAGCACCGCACGACGGGCAACGTGCGCAAGTGATCCAAGAACATGGACCCGCTCGGGGCGAGCAGCTCCTCCTCGCTTCCAGAGGAGTCCCTCTCCGCGCTTTCGCTGGATGCTTCCTCTTTCTCCGATTGTTCTTCGGTGGGCGGAAAGGCAGCCTCTCCGACGGCCTCCCCGGGGGACGCGTCTCCGTCTCGGCGCGTCGGCGTCTGGGTGCCGGCAGTCACCCACAGCTGCTTGCCAATTGCGGAGAAACTCGGAACATCGGGGTCGGCGGACGCCGTCGCGGAGGGCCCAGGAACGGCGGCTTCTGGGGTCGCTTGGCTCTTTGCTGGAGAAGAGACGGATGCTTGCTGCGGGCTTGGTGCAGGGGGAGTGCTGGGGACCGGTGCCGGTGATGTTTGGGCGGGAAGTTCTCCCGCTGCGTAGGACAATTGAACATTGGCAGCGTTGGCAGACATCTCGAAATCTGAAAGAATCAAAATCACAGATTAAGAGAATGCACAATGAACTTAATTTTCAAAATGTATGAAACAAGTTAAAAAGCGAAAAAAAACTTCAAAACTAAAAATATGAAACTTCATCTCTCTTCACCATACTCGCTTACCTTAACTGCACTTCTCGACTCCCTACAACTTCAGGACTACGCTCGAACGTATGTTGCGTTGATGCCCGAATACAAATTCGCCCACCCTGTTGGCAGCTTTTATAGCGGGCCGATGTGCCATCAGGGGCCGCAGACTCGCCATCGTACCTTCCAAAGAGCCAATCACAGCGCGGATTCGCCGAAGCGAACTGGACGCACCGCTGCCTCTCTTCTGGAAGATAAACCGTGCGCAACCGCTTGGCGCGCTTTTAAAAGGCGCGGATTATGAATAAGACTGCCTTGTACTCTTCATTATCTGGAAAATCATAATTTTTTCATTGGTAAGTACATTATATAAATTTTATTTATAGTGTGATGTGAACAGTAACGTCATTCGAATTGAAATCTAACATATTTCGTAATTATTTAAATTGAAATCTAATGTGTTTGCAGAACTCGTAAAAAGAAAGATTCAATGTAGACCTATTACATTCAACGAAATGTAGTAAAACACTTTGTGGTAATTTACTAAAGCATGAAATGCAACTATTACGCTAAAAGCTAATGAATGTAAAATTACTGTTCTTATTTTAATTTTCAATATATAGTAAATGCTTCGTTTTGCATTATACGATCAACAGATGCAAAGAAACTAAACGAAACAGCTTAATGCGTAGAATCTACATGCAACTTAAAACTTTTCAGTTAATTTGCATACAATTCAAAAAATTAGCCATTGAAAAGTACTAAAGGAATAAGAAAGTTTTTTGAGGTTGACATCCCTTTTATCCGAGTAATTGGCGGTATGACGCATACGGTGTGTCCGATACAGCATTCCATTTGCATTTGTCGAAAAATGTTAAATGACAATAATTTTTAGTCCCAGAGACAAACTCTTTATATAAAAATGAAGGGGAAATAATTTCAACGAAAAACATGTGCGAATTGCATGCGCAAACTTAAAATATATTACTGTTGTAATTTTGTGAGTCATTTTTCTTCTTTACGTTTGCAGAATCGATATGGAGAAAGAAAACAATTATTTCGTTAAAATGTCTGCACGATCGACTGCTGCATGATCAAATATCATTGTTTGCCTGACCTGATGCTCGTCTGCAAATTACTACTTGAACCGTACGTATCGTACTATCGAAATTTATAATCTTACAACTGATTAGTTTAAATAAATTTCAGAGTCTACAAATTTGCCTGAAGCTTTTTCTACATTTCCAAACTTTCCTCGAATTTCTTTTTTGAATGAACGAAGGAAGCAGTCCATTGTTTTGAATTTACTAAAGCAGAAGAGAAAAACTCTTCTGGGATATTTGAAAACTACCTTTTTCTACGCGGTCCAGGATGAAATGAAGTATATCAGAGAATTCACTTTATTTAATTTTATTATAAGTCGCCTAAACATAAAAGATCATTAGAGAATGATTCTATAGATTATTAAGAGCAGATATCATTATGAGTATCAATAATTCAATTTCTTTCTCTTTAAACTTTGATGACATTGGATAGAAGTGTTGATTTGATTTATTTTAGTAAAAAACAAACAATTATAAACTGGATCTGACGTGTGGAGTATAAGTATAATTCTACCCCTACCATAACTAGTAAAAGGAGATATGAACAAAATGTGGGCATAGTGAAGTTATGTTTATGTCCAGAAGCAAAAAAATGGGCAGCAAACCCGAAATAAAGTAAAAAGAAAAGAAGAAATAAAGTAAGGAGAACAGGTTTTTACACTATGTTCTAGTTTCTTGTGTTATTATTGCTTTTCCGTGATTCCGATATGCAAATTAGTATTTTTTGCTTATTTCGCTTGGTAATCCTGACTTCGTTGGCTACAATTTATGGAATAAATGCATGGTAAATCGCTAGTGATCAGTTGAAAATCACTTAAGTATTGTGGGGTTTTATCCAAAAGGTATTTGTGTGAAAGTAGTTTGTTCTTTGTAACAATTCTCGAGATAAAAAAATGTTCTCTGCAATTGAATGCATCATTTGTCGTATTATTGACGTCATTTAATGTGTTTTTATTTGGTATTTTTTATTGTACTTTGTATTTGATATTTTTCTTACCATACTTTTTTGAATGTATTAACGTGTTAATACATTCAAAACAGCCAACTTTGTTATATAGAGACAAATTACGTAATTCATCTTCAAATTAGCGTGCCTGAAATATTATCGTTGAAATATATTTAAGCATTATTCAAGTATATAGGAATTATAAATAATAAGGACATTTGTGTCATTCATTATTATGCCCGTAAGTCATAATCGCATCACAATTTTCTTGCCTTAGCTCCAAATTAGAAACAATAAATTAAAACACGTTTACTGCAAATGTTTACACTTCCATGCTACACCTTCGACTTCAACTTTGGAATATAGGCGAAGATACACCAGTGACTGTCAGGGAGGGGGAGATGGGGCTTTGCGGGGAGGATGTCTCAGTGTGGGTAGTCAACCATAACTGGAGAGTTGTTGCGACGAAGTTCTTAATGCGCTTGACAGACAGCAGTTAATAGTTCCAATATCTCCACCAGGTATCTCTGAATCTTTCCTGCAGACTACTAACTGTGACGATATCATACCAGATGAGAATCATATTTTAGTATTCTTCTAATTTTCCACAATCCGAATTTTGTAAGTTTAAAGTGGTTATTTGTAAGTTTGTACAAAGAAATTTGCAAAAGCATGTAATCGAAATGCTTCGCCATGAATGGATCTTGCATTGGTTGCCCTTGGAAATTGGCAGTACTACATTTCTTGTTGTGGCTGTCTAGAAAGAGATAAATCCTATTTTCCTTGGGCACGGTAGTTACATTCATGTGCAATACATATGCAGAAGATCGAGTATCAGCTCTTGCCATACTTTCCATTCCAGTGTGACTTTTCCACATCCTTTGTAGAGTAACTTCCTTACCAAAACAGCAGACTTAAATGAAAGAGTTATCACAAAATTTTAATATTAGCAAGGAAAGGCGTGCCAATTCTTTTACAAATAGATAAGAACATATGTTATTTATTTATAAGTTTAAATAATGAAAACTAATGTGGAAATTCTCGAAAAAAATGTGAAATTTTAATTATATCTCAGACTTGGCATCAAAGTCCCCTTCCCTTAATGCTATTATTTCATAAACCACCAACTTTTGAGGACACGAGCTGCCACTGTACTTAAGGAATACTATACAAGTATCTGATCTCTGCTGGCATTTTGAATTGTCTCACCGAGATAATCTTGCTTCCTTCCTGCTTCCCGCAGACCTTTACCTTTCCTTTGTGAGTTAAATGTCACACATTTTGTTTCTACGACTTCCTTGAAAGCCAGGATATTTTAAGCCAACTTTGGAATGGAAGATAAATTATTAATGAATGTGGGAGTTTTATTGTTGGTTTATTTATGGCATACATGGAAACGAAAGTATAATAATAAATTAAATAAATAATTGAATAAATTAATAAAATAAATGTACATATTTTCAGCATTACTTAACGAACATAAATTTCGAAATTTTACAATACTAACGCACATTATTTAGCATCTCACGTGTATACTGAAATGTCATAAACTATTTTAAAAAGTAAGACCAAAAAAAGAACTAATCAATCCGAACGCACTGATACGACCTAAACGAACTCTACTCTGTCAGCATTCAATATGAGAACATTCGGATAGTCAGCACGATTTCCTGCGTGCATTATCTGTGAAGGTACAGCTCTCCATCCATCTAATCCATCTGGTTAGTGTCAAAGGCATCTAAAGTATTTATTAAGCAAGAGTTGTTTTTCCCTTTTTGCTTCTTCGCCCTTACTTCCAAAAAAGAGAAAGTTATATAACCCTGCGACGGAAAACAGTGAATGTTCGGCAGAAAAACTCTTACCGCCGGACCCTGGTAACGAAAAAGTTAATAAATCCTTTTATTATATATAGTAAATTCCTATCTTTAACATGTTGTGTAGTCAGAACCCATGTTTTGTGAGTTCTTGAAAAATTAATTGACATCAAAATGTCTGTCTGTCCATCCGTCAGTCTGTCAGTCAGACCATCTGTGCTCAAAGTTAGTTCTACAACCATTCTCCGTATTTTCTCCAAAATTAATATTCCCCGATCTGAAGGAACACAAGGCCTTGCGAGTTTTTTTCTCGAAACGCGGATATATTTTCGTAACTGCTTTTGTAACCCAGACAATCAAGAACCCTTCTACTTTTTTAATCAGAAGCACCCAGGAAGGAACCAATTACTTTCCAAACAGTAAAAGCAATATAAAAGTCAAATATAACATCTCCAAGTTCTCCATATTTTTTCTCTATCAACCATTGACTAATTTTTGCTACAATTCGAATAAAAAGCAGATTTGATTTTCAAAAGCGCTGCTCTAAACTGCGTTTTATGAATTGTATAGTTACAGAATTTCGTAACAAAAAATATTTCCGTCCTGTGTCAAAGGTGACACTGTAAACCACATTCAGTTTTACAATCAAGCATTTAATCGAGATCCTTTCATTATTAGTATTTAAACTAATAGACGGAATCACATACCGTCACCACTTGGACAGCAAGTGATGGTAAAATATTATTAAAACACATTTTAAATATTAAATTAAATATATTTTATTTGCAAATATTAGGGTTAAAATAAATTGAATAAGATATAATATTTTGAAGTATAATTGTGTTTTTATATATAATTTTATTATTTTTCACGAAAAGGGCAAGGCCTCTAGTGTTCCCTCTCATTTGAAGCCACCCTTGCATAGTATCATACACGTATTTAACTCAATTGCTAGGCTGGTAAAAATGCTGCAGTGCTTTCGAGAGCCGAATTGGTTGAAGTGCAAACGAACCAAACAAAAACAAACAAAAACTCGTTTACGTTTGCGCTGTGCGGATTCGTTTCACAAGAAGCCCCTGAATGCAGAGAGAGGAATTGACAGAAACCCTCGTGTTGGACTTCTTGCCGCGGTTTCACTGCCGGTCCTGTGATTTGGTAAAGAGTATTGAGAGTTTCGATGCTCATTATATGTTGCGAATTCAAACGCGAGAGATATTTATTTAGCGTGTGACAGTAAGATATTAAGTCGACATTCATGTAGTCAATGCAGTAATTTCAAATCCGTTGAATTGTTTAAATGATTCGTCCCGTGATATAAGTGTACAATTTTAATATTGTTAATATATTTAAACTCAAACTTTGTGAATACATTGAAACCAATTTTTGTCTATGCAAAAGTATGATATGTATGATTAAAATTTTGTCGATGTAAGGGTATAATAAGTTTATTACTGTTCATAAGTTAATCCAAAGTTTTTATTATTATGTTAAAATCGATCCTTGTTTATCGAAAAGTAACTTGACGATTGCGTAATCGGGACCATTGAAGCATAAAGAACAAAAATCGGTTCACAGGAGTAGTCAATGTGGTTGGAGAAACAATTAGTTATGCCATCGTTTCCAAATATATAATTTCTTCATCAGGGCTGCAGTATAAACAATGGACAGTCCATGAGGACAACATACATTACAATAAATTGATTGTTGAATAATTAACACAAATAAAACAAAAAATTAAAATTTAAAATTATAAACTAGGATAAATAAAACGCCAAACATGTAGGAAGTTACCACCTTACTAATCATACAGGTGAAGTCTCATTTCAAGCCTCCACACCCAACTCCATCCAAAAGTAATATTGAAGATTTGTGTAAATGAAATTTTATGATATTATAAATAATCTTTGTTTATGTAAAAGAATGTTAAGCATGATCTAATTTTTCTTTGATGCAACTGAGGTCGCTAATGACCAATTGTTGAAAAGCGAATTAAAATAAATACATTTTAAAAAAATCAAATTCAGATAATGAACAATCTTACCGAAAGAAAGTTGTCGGAGATTTTTTCTTAACGCTTAGAATTTATATTGATTTTCTAATGGAACTAAAAATTTGCAGCTAAATGCATAACGGATTGATTATAGTCATTACCTATCTCCCTTACTTTTCTTTCATTATAAAACTATGTACCCGTTTCAGTAGTAAGAAATTATTACATCATAACAGAGCAGGTATAAATCTTGTAGCAATAGAAATAAAGGAATGGTGATTCGAATGATGTTATACTAAATAAGGTGTTAGTTTTCTTTCAATAAAGAAAGTACAAACATTCGTGCGTAGAGAAGTGATTCGCGGCAGCCGTCTGCAACATGTGTTCAATTAGCTGACATTTTTTATTCGTCAAGAACGTAAAAATTAGAGTCAGCGCCGACCATGAACTATTTAGAAAAGATGTGTTCTGCCCAGCAGCCTGACCATCTCCCAGCAACGAGCGGCCTCAGATGATCAGCACTTACCGGCAGGGCCCCGGGTAGCGCGCTCGGCGCAGCGGAAGACATTAGGTAAATGCGGGGGCTGTTCTGGATGGTGGCGGTGGCCACGACGCGGCGTAATCCTCGTATCGCTATTATGCGTCGCGCGGCTGGCGGCCGGGGGAGGGTGGAGGGCAGGCGGAGGGCGCAGAATGCGGGGATGGTGGGCAGAGAACAGGTGTGCGGGAAGTGTGTGGAGTGGAGGAAACGGGGGTGGGAGGAGACGTGGGAACAGGCAGGACACAGCGGAGAGTAGATGGATAAGAGCGCGGGCCACGGGGAACGGCACGCCGGGTGGGGTGCGGGGAGCGTGGGGTAACGGGGCGGGGGGCCGGTGGACGATGAAGATGCAGTGGGAGGAAAATAGGGCGAATGAGGATAAAGCTCAGATTGTGAAGCTCTTGTCAGCGCGGGCGAGTTTGGATGGGGACGGTTCGGCCAAAGAGCGAGCGGGGCGGCAGCTGAGCGGAGAGCGATTGAAGCGGCGGTGTGCGAGTGCCGGTGGGAACAGGAGGGGTATGTGTAAGGCCTGGGGCAGGCGAGGTTGCGGTCGTGGGCAGCGGGAAGGTGGCGGGTGGCCCGGGAGCGGGCGTGTGCGGGGCGAGCCAATACTTTGTTACAGGAGCGGTAGAGGCGGTGACCCGTGTTGCCGGAACATGGAGCGGGCAGCGGCGGCGTACGTTGCAGGTAATACGTGAGGCGCTGGGCG